CTCTCTCTCTCTCTTCAACCTCTCAGTGTCCGTTTAAGGTAAAGCTGATTAACAGCGGAGCTATAAATATTTTGATATACCCTTGTCTGTCTTTCGGTTCAAACCAGATCGATTCGGTCAATTAAGGGGAAGCTATATTAGAACCAAGCTTGTTAACGTAGCTAGCTGAAACCCAGAAGTATAACTCCATCTACTTAACAACCTCCACCTTAAACCCAACCAGGTGTCCAAAAAGCAGCTTAGCCGAGAGTATTCAATTCTGGGGTTTCTTTGGGTTCAAACGTTAGCTGCAAGGCTACAGAGTCTCAACTCTGCGGCTTGCCGTAGATAGTTTCCCCCAAACCCTGTTGAACCATCAGCACCACTGCACCTAGTTAGCGGCTATGCGGTACCTTCTTATGCACAATTTTGTATATATATATATGCCCCACCTATGTTTAACCGATCGGCACTAAAGACACCTCCAAGGATCCCGAGTTATTTGGCATTGAGCACGGCAATGAGGCAACTGATGCCGGTGCCGCTGTCCTTGCTGAGGAGCTGGAGGAGGAGCAGCAGCAGCAGCAGCAGGCAACGCCGCAGAAGCGTCACATCGGTGCCGTTTATCGGTCCGGTTTTCTGCCCAGTTACCGTTATTTGCGCAGCCCCACCGGCAACACCGTCGGCGGCTATGGCGGTGCCGGCGGGCGCTTTAGTCGCTCGGGACGTGCCAGGCAATTTGTATGAGTAAATGGCGATGGTTCGATGTGTGCTGCATAAATTTATTTTATAATTTCCTTAAATTGAGCATTATTCATTGTGTGATTCGGTTTAAGTTCAAAGTTCAAGTTGTACCCTGCCTGAAACTGCCTGCTGAGTCTCTCGCCTGTCGCCTGTCGCCTGCAGCCTGTCGCCTGTCGCCTGTGTCGTTATCTATAGATCGTGAATGTAACTATTATGCGCGGCTCTTAAACCTTTATCCAGTACTATACGATTCGTAGTTGGCGCATGTGAGCATCGACTTTTAGTGCTTCTTTCTTCATGTACTTAACTACTTCTATAAAATAAGACAAGCGTATTTATTGGTTAACTAGATAATATCTTTCAAAAAACTTAGAACTATATCTTAGCCTAGCTTTGAAAGCATTAAGACTGGTACTTCCCATCTACCTATCCTCATGTCCGGTCACAGTTTTACAGAACTTAGCTTAACATACCCTTTACAGAAACTGACAAGGCTTAACAAGAATAAATTTAGCATCATATAACCTAGCATAACCTTGAGCAAATCAACCTATCCTCATCACCTGGCATAGAATTACAGATCATAGCGTAAGATACTATATACAGAAACATACATACCAATTCGACCCAACCCATCTAATTTAACCTTACATAACCGACCATAAACTTGAACAGTCCAACCAAAGACAATATAAACAGTGTTTATTATTATAAACAGTGTTTATATTGTCTTTGGTCCAACCTATCCAAATCAACTGACAGTCTTACTTAACATAACCTCAAAACCTTACATAGCCTAGACAGAAACTGACATAACTTAACATGACCTCACATAGTCTAACATAACCTTACTTGTCCCAGACGTAACCTAGCAATACTTAACATTACCTAACCTGACCTTGATTTCTTGATCTTAAAACTTATGCCGTCGCAACAGGCACGTTGAGTTCTCTATGTCGATAATTTCCTTTAGAATTCAGGAATTTGGAAATGGCTACCCGAAGCTTAAATACCGGAATTTCGTTTCTATTGTAGGAATCCAATTATATATAGGAATCCAATTTATGTTCACATTTCCGTTAACACATTCGAAATACAATTTCTGTTTATATCCAAGCTGTTTTGTCCAATTGACTGTCGAACGGGAAATTCAATTTTCCGTATGTTTGGCAAATCTGCGCACATTTTTCTTTACCCCGCTTCTCCCTCCCAAGCCCACATACAATTGCGTGTTACGGATAATCGTCTAATTTCCGGCATTTTGTTAGCCGGGCGGCAAACCGTCGCGCCCTCTCCCTTCGTCCTACAATGTGCGGCAGTTCATTTTATTGCAGTTTATTTGCTACCGGAAAACTTTTGAGGCGGGGCCCATTCCGAAATGTGCTTTATTTCTATTCCCACGCATTTAGAATTCAAATGCGATAATTCAAATAGTTAAGGGAAAAGTTTCTGTGCGAAGCCCTCGCGATTTTTCAATTAAAATCGTTTTTGTTTCGAAAAGTTTTGTTTGGCACTTGCAAAACAGAATGAATTAAATTTCTACTCACAAAGTGTGCTCGTGGCTATAGCTAAACTGTTCCTGGGAACAGTTGACATTTTGTTGCATACCTTTGGGCAGCCGACAAAAGTGGGAATAAATGTTCGTGCTGAAAATATAAGAGTCGTTTCTTGAGGATTTGTGAAACAACTCAAATACTTTGTTAATAAATTAAATTAAAATTATTTTTATTTTAAAGTCAATAAGATCTGCTGTAAATAAACAAATTTATTAATTTCTATATGTGTTAAATTTAAATTATATTTAATTTTTCTGACTTGTATATGTATACTTTCTTCTAAACATGATGTATGTGTTTGAAGTTTTTTTTGGCTTATTGGCATGTTTCAAAAACGGAAACTCATTGGCATGTTTCGACTTAGTCTATCCTTTTGCTAATTTTCTATTATTTTACTTAGTTATCTATTCGAATAGTAAGTGTGTAGGACAGATAGAATATACTTATATAAGAGCAATAGTTGCATGTGTTTTGGTACAACACTGCGAAAATCGAAAGACTTGTATTGAAAAACAAGCGTTTTGTATTGTGCACACATAGTTATCGTACAACTGTTTAAATGTTTTTCGTTTCATTTTGTTTTTGTGTAAGATTAACTAAATCGATCGAGAACTAATTGGAACTATGTGTGCGTTTTGTTTTTGGCAACTGCAGGTCGGGTACTACCCCCAACACGAGCGACTGCGTCAACCAATCGCAGCCGTTTGTAAACGTTGCTTCCTACCCAATCGACCGATGATGAACTGGAGCGGAGCTGGCATACGCGGTAGTCTGTCCAAAATCTATGCGGATCCCATCGAGGCGGCCAGGTCATCGGCGGCAACAGCGGCGCGCATGCGCAGCATTTCCACCAATTCGCTGCCGAGCGGACCAGCCAAATCCATTAGCCGACCCATCTATCCCCCCTTTCACTCCTGGGGCACTCCGCCGCGTATTACAGCACTGCATCGAGGCGTCTATCGACGCAACGGTGAGTCCATGGACAATTACGAATACTAAAATATATATATATATATCGTGACAAAATAATCTAAAATTACAAGTAACTAAAACAGTAACAATAACAATATCGTATACAGACTTTATGATAATTGAGAAGATATTTAATACAGTTATACAGTATTTTCGATGTAGTAGTTCTTAACACCGTCACACACACACCTGCAGCACACGCAGCTACGCAGCGCAAATGTATCTGTATCTTAAAATTTGCCGTAGTTCGTTGCCACTCGAATACGTATCTGTATATCAATATATACATATGTACGTATATGTACGTATGTATACAATATCGAATAAAAAAAATCTATATAATGAGGTAACTGATGCCAGTGCAAAGCAAAGGAACGTTTAATATCAAAACTAAACCATATCGAATTCTCGTTTAACTCAAGACAAACAAAAATAAAAGGACGTGAAAAAAAAACAATAACAAATTAGTGCCAATGCCGTACCTTAGCAGGAAGTATTGAATTTCAAAGCCTGGACTCTGATCCCAACTAATCCTAGTTTTTGCCAGTTACTTCGAACTCCCTACAGATTGTATTAACTACTTCTAATACCTCTATGTGTGTAGATGACAATAACTAATATTATTAACATAATAAATCAAAGCCCCCAATTCTAGCCTAAGTTATGGCACAAATCATATATATCCATATATATGTCATGATTTAAGTATTCGTATACACCGAAGAATGTTTACTGCGTCAAAGACAATAACTAAGAAACTTTGGTAAGCATACTGAAAAACAGACAATAAATGAATTGACAATAAAACTCGAAACCAAAAATAAAATATATATATATTGATATATTAAAAAAAAAAAAAAAAAATAATGTATTGCATTCAATCATTTAAAAAGAATTTTATTTGAAAAAATATCCAAAGAGAACTCAAATATAAAAATCTAACTAAAAAAACATATTCAATGTGCGTAATTATAAGTCTGATGTTGTCAATAATTAACTTACATATTTATTTCCAATTTAAAGTATTCCAAATGCAAAAAATATATATAATAAAATATTTAATATACGAGTATATATATATATATATACGGTTATATATACATATTTACTTCGTTTATCTATGTATGTATTTATCTATGCTCAATGCGAAAAAAGGCGCTGTAAAAACACTTAACACCTAACAAAATGTTATATGCATATACAGAATTATATACTAAAAAGAATACTTCAAAGTAATATCTTAATAATAATACTTACAAAAATATATACATACTTATTAACGGTTTGCTCCCAAACTAATGAATTTCCTGTTGTTTCATTCTGCGGGTTTTGACCAACATTAATTTTACATCATTTTTGTTGTGAAGTCGGCTGCGAACGAGATTTAGGGATCAAATCCCTATGAAGGCAGGAGAAAGAATTTAGTTTATTAAGCTTTAAAAAATGCTTAAGATATATCAAATATATATTGATGGCTCTGGCGATAAATAAATATTGATATATCAAATATATTTTGTAATTTTTTTCTTTGAATTTTTCATAATTGATTATATATTGGCATAGTTTTTTAATACTGAAAATTTCATTAAAATCATATAAGTTTTGGATGAGTTATTTGAGAAGTGTGTGTTGGACAACTTTTGAGCTCGTAACATTCTTACCCATTGTTTGTCATTTACTTAGACTCCCTAATCAACAATTAATCCCAAATAATACCACATTTATTTTGTTTATGTTACATCTCTATATTTTATACATAATATCGCTTTTCGTATCTTAGGTTATAAAAAATAAATATACTTAGCGAATGGAAACACGTCGTCTTGGCCCAATGCGCCTCTAAAAGCCGTGTAATATGCATGCTAGATAATATAATATTAAATTCTAATACGACGATGATTTGCATATCGGTTGAATAAATAGGTAAGTGCCTAAGATTTACATGTGCCTCTGCTGATATTCGTAATTTTCATATGCATTAAGTTAAATATTCTACAACTAACTCAAATATTGTATGCAAACGGGTGCTGTGTGTGGGTCTGAGGGGCTGTGTGGGGGAGGGGGAATGTCGTCGACTCTACTCGGGTTTAAGTAATTAACTCATGACCAGTACTTGGCCGTCTGACCCTGGGCGGGCAGTGGATGATTGTAGGCAGCGGCCACATTGCCATGCGCCGCAGCAGCCGCATAATCAGTCAACTGATGCTGGGCGACCGCATGGTGAGCCGCCGCCGCATTGTAATTGGCCGCCGCCACCGCCGACTGGTTAAGATGGTAGGCAGCCTGCGACCAGTTGGAGGGCGACTCCAGTTTCGCATAATTATCGCTTAAATGCAACGATGGCGAGATCTTTGATACACTATCCGCAGTCAGCTTGGAGAAGTCGTCAATGGACAGCTTGGAATAGTCTAAAATTAGAGAGAAGAGACATTGATTAGAGAGGATACGAAATGAAGGGGAACTGATGAAGAGGGGATATAGAAGATGGAGTCGAGACAGGCGGAAGAGAAAGATGTGACAGTATTAGATGAGCATGATGGATATAAGATTATGGCAGATGTGGAGCTCGACTCAGACAAGATGAGAGATGAAGGAGAAGATTGAGCATGTGGTGGAGGAAGATTTGGAGAAGACGGATAAATAAAGAAGGAAGTGAAAGGTAAGGCAGAGTTAATGGTTTAAATGATAAAGAAAGATACATATGTTGGAGATATGTTAAGGATATGCAGGAAAAGTTCGAGGTTGAGTTGGACCAAGAGGTAAAAGGGAAAGGGCAGGATTAGGATTAGAATAGGAATATGTAGGATATGATGGGTAATAAGAATTTAAGAAAAATTGATAATATTAAAATATGATAGAGAAGGTACTGATGAAAAGGGAGGAGAGGAGAGAAAGAGAGGATTCTTTGGAGTTCCGAAAAGAAATTCTTCTTGATTTGCTTTTACCCACCTTGATGATAGTAGTTCTGGCTGCCAAAGTGGCCATGCTGCGCAAAGCCGCCCGGGAACCCATGCTGCGCCGCGCTCTGCACCAGATCGTAGCCACCCATCTGTGTGTGATGATGAGCCGCCGCCGCAGCGGCCGCTGCGCTGTGGGAGCTGGGCGCATGGGCCGTGGTATGATGGTGGTGGGAGCTATCGGTCATGCCCGTCGCACCACTGGCCGTGGTGCCCGCGGCGGGACTGTAGCCCGCCATGGAGCCAACGCCGAGTGGACCAAAGCCGAGCGGTGCAGCAGCACTGCTGGCGGAAACCCCAACGCCAACTCCGGCACCGGTGCTATTCATAGGCGATAGCCCGGAGCCAGAGCCGCCCGAGTGTTTGCGCAGACGCGCACGACGATTGGAGAACCAGACTTGGATGCGCGCCTCCGTCAAGCTGGTGGTCTGGGCGAGCTCTTCCCGCGTATAGACATCCGGGTACTGGGTGCGTGAGAAGGCGCGCTCGAGTGCCTCCAGCTGCTCTGCGGTGAATGTGGTGCGGGAGCGTCGCTGTTTGCGTTTCAGCGGAATGCCCGGCTCCGATTCGGTGTCGCTGATGTCCGAATCCCGGCCTGGCAAAGAAAGAGACTCACTTTATTAAAAGGCTACTAAAATTATAAACGCCTCGTAAGAAGTCATAAAATTTTATACGCTTAGCGCTGCTGAATGGAATATATATGTAAAAAGTTACTAAATCATATTCGATGGGGCCACCGACGTGGTGGATCGTGTGATCCCCTCAGCTAGCGATCGTATGAGAATGGGAGTTTGAATGGGAAACGGGAGTGGGAATGGGAATGGGAGTGTCGACGTTCACTGCGCGCCATTGCATATTAATTGAAACGTCAGGGAGCGCAACAAATCTGTCAAAAGCAGCCGCCGTCGACGACGACGACAATGATCGCACAACAGAAGTCAACAGATGATGCGATCCGCTGAACGGGGTTCGCTGAAGTTGGAGCTGGGGCGTTGCCGCAGGCAGCTCGTAAAAGTCACCACAGTTGACAAGTGACACAATATATCAAATTACACAAGAAGATGATCGGCAAGTTGTCAACGAACTGGCGATCTCAACATGGATGGGAGCCATCTAAGGCTATAGAGCGCTATGGAGGAGTGCGCCAATTAACTTCGGCGTCTGTTTACGAAAGTAAATGCCGCCTTGGCAAGAAATCGGGCATGAAGCGCGGCGTGTGGCAGAGCCGCGGCGATCATTGGTTGTACACTCGGTTAAAGTCGGAGGGCATGCCAAATTATTTGGAGAGCTCATTACACAATAAACTGACATTAGGGTTGAGTTTTTCTTCTCGCTTGGCGACGCAGCAGTTCAAAGAAATTGAGAATTATTCAACAAGATCACAAGATCATTTTTCATAAAGCAGCAGAGACATACACACTCACACAGACTCGCTGATGAGCCTGGCTTTGTCCTGACTGCGGAAATACTTTGCTCGCTTTCCGAATCGAAGGCACGATCAAATCGATCGTCCTTGCTCATGTGCGTGTGTGTGTGGCACAGGAAGAGCTCGAACAATTTGTGGTCAACGTAAGCGCGTTGTAATCTTTTCCGGTCTGTCCAGTGGGAAAATATTAATTGATTTAGTGGATTAGGCAACTTTGATTTTATTTGGCTGATAAATGCGACTGCCTAACAGGCAAGCAGGAAGTGCGACTTGACTGGACTATTTATTGGAATTCATGAGTTTCTTTTGGTAGAGCTGTCAATTGAGTACAGTTATTGGTGGAAATCAAAAGTCAGGTAGGGAAACAAGGACACATATAAAGTTGGAATGGAAAAAAAGGGCAGTGAGCAAGTCTTAGGAAGTTTGGAGACTCGCGACTAAAGCCTTTCTGCAAAGATCTCTTTCATATTTTTGTAGATCGAATCTGTAGTGGACTTTAGCATTCATCACTCTAAAGCAAACTATTCCCTTTTGTTAGGAACAAGGTCTTTTAACTACCATTCTTTGGATGATCGAACTTTTCAATTTGCATAAGTTTTTACAGTCTCCTAGCCACACCCAGGCACCTGTCCAACTAATCAATGAAAATCTTAAAAATAGGATTTGCAAAAAACCCATATCGAAACCCGACAAACCCTCGATTGTAAGCTTAAAGTTTCAGGCACGCTTATAAAAGTCGTAAAGCTTATAAAAACACACCCAAAAAAACAATAAAAAACCAAAATCCCTGCGAAAGCAAAGAAATCTTCAAGTCTGGAACGCCCACTGTTTAGTGGTTCGAAATTCAAAATTCACATGCGTGGAAAAAAATGAATAAAAACAGAAGTCGACTATTAATCTTTCAGCACACGCAACAATAAAACTTAATTATAAGAAACGGGTTCCCAAAAACTGCAGAAGCTGTTCAATAAAACCGAACGCCGAGTGAGAAAAACAAAAGAGCGTGAAAGAGAGTGAGAGAGAGAGAGATAGAGAGAGATGAAGAGAGCGAGAGGTAAACAAAAATCAATTAGTTTTTTAATGTTAAACAATTTATTAATTTGTTGTTACTACAACTGAAAAAGAGCCGGAGTCCAGCTCCAAAAACAATCCGCCAGTCGAACAATTTAACAATTTAACAATCTGATGGTGGCCCCAAAAACAAAGATCAAACTTTTGGCACCACCGTGGCTACCGGTGGTGCTCCGTGGCTTTTATGGCTTTCTTTTTGAGCGGCTCTGTGATAAATTGCTGTGTGGTTTTGTAATCCGTCCGGGGTATCGATCATTTTCAACGACGTTTCGGACTGCATTTCCAAAACAGCAGGTAGTAAATGGCCTGACAGCGGAGCTGGGGGTAGCTGGGGCACCAGCTGGTGTGGTCACAGGCCCCAATTCCAAGCACTCTCTTGATGGACAGTCACTGGGCACACTTTTGTGTCCAAAAGGTCAACAGATCAGGCGGCTGCACATTTTTGGAATAGCCCAAACCCTATGTAATAGACGAGATTCTACAGCCATCAATCAACAAGAATCTGACACAATTTAAATTGCCTGCATCTAATATACGATTGCGGCTCTTGAAGGTTGCTGCAATTGAAAAGCCCCATCAAGAGATCTGTTTATATAATTATATAGGAAACGTTCCAAGTAAATGAAATATAATTTTTTTGGTACCCAATTCATTTGCCCTCGGCTATGACACTTTTTATTAGTGGAGCCTCTAAAGCTGGAGGCCACTGTCAGCTGTCAGCTGGAGACACGGAGCGGACACGCGCGGGCTCTGTCACCAGCCAGATTTGGGACTTTCGGTGCCTTCAGCCAGAGCGACTTATGGGGCGCTGTTCTGTTTTAAGGCTTAAGATTCTTGTCAGCAAAAGGATTACAGGAGCTTTAAAAAAATATGACACTCTTTTTTTTTTGGATATTCAACAAGCACTGAGTGAGGAATTTCATAATTTTTTTATATCTTTTCTTGAATTATTCTTTTATTTTGCGATTTTTAATTGGTGCTTTGTGCAGAGACCTTGAAATTTGAATTGGGTGAATGATCGAAAAAGCATAAAATAATTTGAATGGTAAATAAATGATAAGAATATGTTCCGTCAATAGATTAATTGCATTGGGAAGAAAATTAAAAACTTAGCTTTAGACATAGCCTTTTCGGCAGCCCCTCGCATTTAGGTCTAAGCTTAGAGCGCCTATCAGAGAATGTATAATTATATTAAAAATATTTATTGAAATGCTTCTATTGAATATATTGAACATAAAGTAACCAAAATTTATGTTCTATCAACGCCCTCGCGATATCAAATGTGCCCGATCCACACACGCAGAGCACATTTAAACTAATTTACAAAATTGTTAACAGACGCAAGAAGATTGAGAAGAGACCAAAAATTAGTTATAATCATAATCCGGCGGCAAAAGAGCCGATTGTGCGTAGCCAGCACCCCCTCGATGAAACAGAATCAGAACCAGAAACCGATTCAGATGCAGTTCTTCGTTCAGAATGAAATGAAACTAATTTAAATAACAATGCGCACAAACACTTGATCAAAACAAATCCCCCAAAGATGAGCAGACATGCAAGACAGCGACAACGACAGATACAGCTGCAGATACAGATACAGATACAAATACAAAGATACAGATACGGATACTAACTCAGTGAGCAAGGGCTCGCTTGGGTTGGCTAAAGTGTGATAATACGTTAATAAAATATTTTGTAACTCATCAACACGAACGAGCAGCGCAGCGGTGCATCGACAACGACGACGACGGCGGTGGTGGCGGTGGCGGTGGCGGCGGAAAAAAATAAGAGTCTCAACAATGAGATCAAACGGAACGACGCAGGACACCCTGGTGGGCATTAAAGATGCCGCCGCTGATCGGTGCATTTGAAGTCGAGGCGCTGCTTTTGTTACGTTGACACTTTTTTCGGGCATGAACGATTTTAATGGGTTCCCAGCTCGAACAAATGAGCCACGCCACACCACAAGCAGAGCCCGAAGAGCTCGAAGAGCCGCAGACCATGTGCATGATTGAGGGCACGACCAGATCTTATTGTGGGACCGCACACAACACATATGCAAGCCAAAGGAGCAGGATATTTTTGCGCAATCATCTATCCTTCTCTCTCTCTCTCTGTCTCTCTGGTCATTTGTCATATGATACTGCAAGAATGCAGCAGCTCTCTCTCTTGCTCTCTTGCTCTCACTCTCCCTAACTCGCCCACTCGCACGCATTAGAAAAGGTGTGAACCAGTCTAGCCAATTTAGCTGTTTTCTAGCTGAATTTTTTATCTGTGTTCAGAGTGAACTGATTAGCTTTTTGTTTTACCTATTATGCTTGAGATAGCATTAGAAAGGTGAGAGAACCAGTCTGGCCAATCCAGCTATTTTCTAGCTAAATCTAGATTGTTTGAGCTCTTTTTTTTTATATTGAAATTTTAAACAAAAGGCATTAAAAAAGGTGTGAATTAGTCTAGCTGATTCAGCTGTTTCCTAGCTGTGTTTTTAGCTATTTTCTGGTTGTATTCAAAAAGAACATTATTATTAACACTTTAAACTGATTTTGCTTGTTTTCCTCCTAATTATATCTGTTTTGGCTCAGTAACCTGGTTTAGCTACTTCTTGCTTTTTTTTAACATGGAATTCAGCCAGTTTTGTTTATCGGTAGTTGGCAACACTGGCGAGAACTGTTCTTGAGTTCCATTGAGCGGCGACCGTTTGTCTTCTGCGGCCATTGCGACTTCTCTTCTTGTCTCTGCTCTTTTATCTCAAATCTGTCTTTCTTTTTTCTCTTTTTTTTTGCAAATAATTGAACCTGTTTGTATTTACGCTAGCTCTGGGCCGGGCTCTAGCCACAGCGCTGGGTTCGAGCCTCCGAGGCCAATTGTTGCCGCATTGTCTGGCCGTCTCAAATATTTAGTAAATAGCCCCTGGCCATTCCCACGCGTCGTCCTGGCGGCCTGCTTGTTGCTGGCATTGATCCATTGTCCTGTGCGCGGCTTTTCATTTACACTAATTGCCGCAAGTGTTCATTTCTTGACTTCTTGTCGGTGTTTTGGCATTTGATTTTGTGTGTTTTTTTTATTTATTTTTTGTTTGTATTTTCTATGGAGTGGGCCTTCACCTGACATGGGTTGGTCCATTAACACGCCAAATAATACAAATCGCACGCGTATTTATCAGACACAAGGTCGGGATCGGGATCGGGATCGGGATCGGCTGGGTTTGAGCTATTGTTAAGCCCGTTTAGCGGGGGCGTTGCAACATTTAGCGGCAACTTACAAACGGAGGCGTATCGATTTGAAGTTTTTCAAATGTATAGTTCCCAGAACTGCGGGCACAAATTAAAAGTAATTTTTTCACTTTGATTTATGCCAAATAAATTTAATAAAAAAATTAATGTTAAATTCTGAAGTAAATGTGCTCCTCCCAAGTTTTATGAAGCAGACATTATTATGGGAAAAACTCCTTTAAATGGAAAATATTTGTTAAATTTACAAAATTTCTTACATCTTTTTATATAATTTATAATTTATAATTGGTTTTAAGCTCAAACGCGAGTCGGCATCTTTAAATACTTGAAAAAAACTACCAATGCTTCGACTAACATCTTTATTTTTCTTATAAGTATAAAACGCTTTTGATAAATTTTCGGGCTTTCCCCTGCCCTTGTTTTTGTTTTTTTGTCACTAGTAGCCCCCGTTTTGGTCAGTTGCAGCCCCCACACAAATCTTTGTGCGTGTGTGTGTGTGTGTGTTTCAGTTATTATTTGATATTCCACATCTTTTCGTGGAAAGATCAAAGCAAACCGCCGCTAAACACAGTCAACGACAATGGCCCATCCGAGAGCTGAGGTGGGGCCGCAGAGCTCTGGCCCTGGCCAGACCCAGTTGTATAAATTGTACAAAATCAAAATCAAACGAAATTATAAGTGAAATACGAGACGAAGAAATATATTTAATAATGCATAATTTTTTTGTTTGAGACCCGGTTACCCCTAGCCCCTATCCCGCCACCCCACCCGTCGGCAAAAGAAGGCGTTGATTACAGGCAAAGGCACCGACTCCGACTCCGACACCGACACCGGACCTGGTCGGATGCTTGGCCAGCTGTATGGGTCGCCCTGAATGTGTCTCTGTGCCTGTTCTTCCGATTGCGTTCTGATTGCGAGTCCCAGGATGGGTCCAGCTGACCAGCCAACAAACCCAGCCATCATTACGCAGTCGCATCATTACGAAGTCAGTGGAATTGCTGTAGGAATTGGTGTAGGGTTTGTGGCAATGCCAATGCCAATGGCAATGGCTATGGCCGTGATGATGGGAGGGCGTGTGCTTATTATACGCTTCGACAACATAATGATAGCTCTTGTCTTAAATTTATATAGATTATATTTAGTAATTGGCATTTGTACGATTGGAGCCACCATTTGGGGGATTGTTAAATGGGTTAGGCATACAGGTGCTGAGCGCGCACGGATAAACGATTAAATGTGATGTGGGAAGGCCAATTATTATACATATAAATTGAATTGAAAAGTTTGGACAACGCAGGGAATAGAGGTTAAGAGAGTTACTTTTAAGAAGAGTCACTTTAAGAAGCAAGATTGTTCTTCAATAATTAGCTGCTGATGAGCTTGTGTTAGATCTCTAGTAATTCTAAGGCCCATTATTATTTCTGCAAGCACAAAAAATTAAATTTCAATCAATTCAAATCTTTGAGAACAAACTTGTTGGGATACATTTTCTTAAGAAAAATATTTCTGGTCAATATCCACTCTTTCCAAATTTAGGGCTTCTAAAATTAGTGCTTCTAAAATTAGGGCTATATTATTTCTGAGTGTGGTCCAATACAACTATTTTGTAAACTCTAAGGGCTGGGGTAATATCAAAGAATGAGGTCTCTTCTCTCTCTCTCTCTCTCTCTCTCTCTCTTCTGTAATTTATATCCTAAAGCCAACTATTTTCAGTATTATATTTTTACTAAGCACCCAATATTCTTATTTTGCAAGCTATATGTTTATCAGCTGCAAGAAAATTTGCCTCACAGCTGGAAAGAGCAGGAAGTTAGAGAGTAGAAATATGCAGTAGGCAGGCAAAAAAGGCAACACTTGCTATTTTCTGCTCAAGGTTAGGAAACACCCAAAACATAATAAAAATAAAAATATTCATTCAGCAAATGCAAGCCGCATCCATTAAGGCCTTTAAAGGAACCAAATTCAAGGTGACAACTCTGGCTGAGTTCTGGCCTCACCCACTGGGCTATTGTGAGGCATTTGTGTTGTGACAGAAATGGGACGGCAAATATCAGAGGCCGTCGGCGAATTGGACAATTGGCAAAGAGGGCAGTGCGAGAGGGTTGTCGAGGGTTGGCCAAAGTACAGTGAAAACGTTCGTCTAATGATGCAACAACAACAATGGGAACAACAAATACGAAACAGACAATTTTCTAGTCGATTTTGAGGCAGAAAGTCGTAAACTGGGCAACGTTAAACGAAAAGGGGAACCGCTTTGACCCCCGCCGATCGTTTATCGAATGACTTTGCATATTTAGCATGATTATTGGCCCCGTCCAGAGTGCGACTGACTGACGGAGTAGGAGCCGGTGTCAGAGTCAGAGTCGGAGTCGGAGTCGAAGTCGAAGTCTCACGAAAGGCAATGAAAAACCTGGTTATTAGCTGTGCAATAGGCAGAGAATCTGGAATCTCATGTACTTTTTGATTCTCAGGTGTCATCATCTACACCTATTTTGTGGCCTGTATTTCGGGCTGTTGTGTTGCCAACAACCGAACCGAACCGACAGAAACGATCGTTATCGCATAGGCCAAGATCTATTGTAATATTTTGAGCGGCTTTGATTTAAGTTTAAGTCGCTCGTTCTAAGACGATCAAAGGGCCATTGCCGACACATACACAACTTTGTTGATTTGAGCAACAAATGATTTGGGAATGATTTTACGAAATTACATCAAACATATCAAATAAATGATCTCTAATTTTTTGGTAGCACGTTGCCGAAATCATCGAAAATAAACTAGGGTATATATATATAAATATATTTCAAGGCTGGTTGGGTTAACGGTTCGAACCGTATTTCCGCCTTGAGTTTCATTTCGTGGACCTGGTCCATAAACCGAGGTTTTAGTTATGGTAAGATAAATCGAAGGGATGAGGCCCAAGTTTTTTATGCTTTGGAACTGAGACTCCCTCGAAATACTTTAATAACTTATTTGCCTTAAAGTTCGGTTCAAATTAAATAAATTTCAATCTAGTGTTCAAACCGATACGAGACAAAGCCGGCTTGCCTTAATATATGTATACTGGCTATATGTGGTTCGTATAAAATATAATAAATAAACAAGCCAAGCCTTGTGGAAATCGGATGAGACTCGACCAAGTTGTGGGGGTGGGAAATTATGACCTACTTCTATATAGGATATTCAAGGGTACCATTTTCACAAAGAATAATGTTGCCAGAATTACATGCCAAATCAGGAGGCCAAGCCATGAACAAAGACCCACACCTTATGAAAATCGGATGAGTTTTGAAAGAGGTGATATAGGAGAGTTAATGGTACCATTTTCAATTGAATTTTTACCAAGAATAATGTTAGAAGATTTAGTTGAATTGTGTTTTCCACCAAGGAAGCTTTGATTTTGCGAGCGGTGTGAAATACGTCTCAAATGATTTTCCATATAGATCCTTGGAAGTGAATTTGAACGTGAAAAGTCACCCAACAAATCTTTAGCTCCCATTTCCACAAATGAGGAATGCTTTTTCGAAAAGTGTGAAACACAAATAAATTTCAAAAATGATCTTTGAAAATGAGTTTGAGGCCGATCAGATGGTATACAAAAAGTTCCATACACACGTTTCGCGATTTATCCACACTTGCGGGTGAAATTTCTACAGGGAATCAATCGCTTACAGTGTGTATGCTGTGCGTTGATTACAGTCAGGACTAATAGTTTTATATGTAGAGATTTGAACTCAATATGTGATCTCTGATTATTTAAAACTTACCGCCCAGTATGCCATGTATCGTGTAGTCCTTGCGTCCATCCTCGCTGCTGCGATCGTTGCCCCTCAGCAATCGGCTGATCGATGAAGTCGATGGCGGATCCGCAAAGCCCTCCTGTTTGATATGCGGGAAAAAGGTTATCAATAGGTCAGATCGTGTAAACAGCTCGCTTGTGTATCTGTATCTTGTATTTGTATCCCTATCTAAATGAGCACTCGAACTCGTAGCAAATCAAGCACACAAATCCAATTAGGTTAAACCCCAGCCGCATAAATATTTGTGGGCTACCGGTTGGACCTATAAATTATACGAGCGTTAGGCACTCGGTCTGGTCTTTTCGAATGGGCTAAGGATTTACATATGCACTTGGCGCAGTGACATTAAGTCCACAGTTGCTGGGCAGCTGCCCACTTGCTGTTTGGACACATTTTTATCTCTACCCAACTCTCTCTCTCTCTCTCCCTCTACATCTCTCTCGCTCTCGCTCTTGCCCGCTCTAAAACTCTCTGTGCTGTAATCCAATTAGGAGAAATGTCAAGCTGAGCAGGGCTTGAGAATTTGTCTGAGTGTCACGTGTTGTCTTAAATGCCGCGACAGATCACAGGTGTGAATCTTAATGCACTTGGCTTGAGAATTTATGCAAAAAAAAGGTGAACAGGCCTTAAAAAAATGTCTTCTTATCGTATAAAATAAAATGGTAGGTATAAAAACATTTATGAAGAGACACTTATCCATATCTCAAGTGAGTATAAATAGTATAGATACAAAAGTATCTGCTACTTTTATGTAGTGTTGCATAGTGCGAATGGGATTTAAAAATGATGTCTTTTAATAGTTTTTCTCCCAGTTTGACAATAAAATTATGTTCAAAGTTATTTGAATGCTTTTTATTTTATTTTGTTAAATATTTGATTTAGGAAACGCTACTTTGCCCGGGAAAGGCCGGGTATTGATTGCTTTTATGCATTATAAATATTTTTAACATGATTTTTGGTTTATTTTGCTTTTATGTAGCTCAAGTGCTTCATAGAACAGTGCAACAATCTCTTCTGGTTTACGCAGCTAATATAAGCGAACCTTAAATTGGGGTAAGTCCCATTTCATATATTATATTTGTTTCTATATTTGCTTGACTTGTCCACCAATTGATTTAAATCTGATATCTAATGGCGCTTAAGCAACAGCTCTGCTGCTGCTGCACGTAATTCCCGAGAAACATGAAATCGAAATCAAATCATATCACAACGAACAAAATCCAAACCAATTTCTCATGCAATGCAGCCGAAAACTGTCAGTTTTCATTAGAGCAACACGTCGACTCCAGGCTGAGCTTCAACTCCAGCTCCAGCTTCAGCTTAGAGCTCCAAGCTAATCGCTGCGGAGCGAAGCGCAACTGTGCGACGCGGACAAGTTGTCTGATCTTTGAAGCTGGAGCTGGAGTTGGAGTTGGAGCTGAAAAAAGTGACCCAGCGTCAGCGTCTCAAATGGAGTGGCATGTGCCGCAAACACTACGTTTTTTATGATTAATAATAAGCATATTTTTGTAGGCAGTAACAAAATTATGGCCAGGTAATGGCTGAGGTGCCACAACTGGCACCTCATAGACATGCCCCAGACGCCGCTTAGAGCTAGAAACTGACATTTTGTCCAGTTTTGGCTGGGGGGGAACTGCGCTTCACTGTGCTGTCTGTCTGGTTAGCTGCCCCACTGGCTGGCTACTGGCTCTTATTTCTATTGAATGTGTCATGAATATGACAACAACAGCAGCAACAACAACAACAGCAACTGTTGCAGCAACAACTGGGAATATGTTTTGATTTTCAACTAGACTTTTGTTGTGTGTTGCCCCATGGCACTTGGTTGGCTCTGCGGCTGCCGGTCAGTGTCTACCGTTGTTGCCCACCGGTTACCAGTTGCCAGTTGCCAGTTGCTTTGCCAGCTGGAATGTGTGACAGCTTATCTTGTAGCAACTGACAACTGGCTGCCGCGCCCCCAGCCCCAGGCTTGCCCCTTCAGACGCCGCAGCGTTGCCCCCGACTGTGCGACACCTTTTTTTTGCCTCTTTGATTTCTAGCTACACAAATTCAATTGAAATTTAATTAATTAGTTGACAGTTGGATTGACACTCGAGCGCGCTTTAAACAAAAATATTTTTCCTCAAATACTTTTTATATATCTCTTCTTTTTTTTGGGTCTAGCATCTTGCATGAGTGGCAGGTGTGTTGCCCGCAGTTTCAGTTCGGCTCTTTTCTAGAGTTAAATATATGAAAATACTTCTCGGAAATCAGCAGTTTGTCAGAGCGAATGCGGAATGAGTTGGGCTCATGTCAGCATGTCTATAAAACAGTTCAGTTATTGCTCTAAGCCTGCATGGCTTAAGTATCTGAGCGCTGGTCTAACAAGCAAGAAGTCGCTGGTTCAAATGTTTATTTAATTTGTTATTATTCACAAAAATAGCAATAATAATTAATTTAAATGAAAAACACGAGAACGGATGGCTATCTTCGGCACGCCGAAGTTGTAATATTGCTTTGCCCGTATCTAAGAATCCCAGGGAAAACCTATTTACCTATAATGCCGCGTATGGTTTTATACAAGAGCCTACGTTTCGAGAGATCGTTCCTATGGCAGTTTCTGCAAAGTTTCATGACGAAATCTTTAAAACTGAGAGACTTGTTCGCATAGAAACATTCAGACGGACAGGACTTTATCGACTCGGCTGTTGATACTGATCAAGAATATATATACTTTATGGGGTCGGAGATGTCTACTTCTATGCGATACACATTTCGAGGCAAAATCATAATACCCTCTGCAAGGGTATAACAAGGAAATGAAAAATGAATGTCCACAGGGAAAATGCATAGACACGTGGTAGCAAGCTTTTGATTTGGGGAATGGCTTTGTATATGTATATAAGTTGGCACAAATTAGACGAATAATTCTAGTACTAAATGCGCTTTCAATATCATCAGTTGAACCGAGCAACGCCAAGTAATTTCGTTTGGTATTCTATAAAAACTATTAGCAAAATCATATGCTAACCTTATAGATAAAATCTGCGCCTGTGGCATAAAATGTTTAATTGCATATCTCAGTTAATTTTTATGATCGGGAATTCGATACTGACGAATAATAAATTGATTTATGCAATAAATACCAACTGAATCAATCACGAACATGAAACAACAAAAACAACAACAACAACTGCAGCTGCCTCTAACCAGAAACCTAAACCAAATTCAGGCGACTTAAGATCTGGCTAAGGTTTTGATTCAGACGATCACGAGAGACAGCATGAGAGGCTGCGTATGGAGCCCGATGGCGTATTCTAATTAAGCGTGAAGCGCACCTGGAGGCTCAGTTTACGCCTACTGCTACAGAGCTGCAGATACAGATACAGATGCGCAGCTACAGATACAGATTTACGGCCTCACAGATACATTCGACGAGTGATGCAACCGGCCGTGTGCCGTTTGCCGCTTTGCCGCTTTGGCGTTTGCAATATCTTCGACCGATCGCATCGATGGCCGCTCGAATCGGTATCGCCACATAAACTGTAACTAATTGCGGCTTCAAATAAAGAGCAAGCTGCAGAAGGGGCTTGCAAGGGGAGGGGAGGCAGGGAGTCGCATCTGAGGGCCTCTGATCAGTAGGCAGCACGCCAAAAAAACAAAATAAAAACAAAAAAAAAAACGCTGAGACACTTGGTCTGGCGGCCCCTGAGCAAACAACATTGGCGTAGGTTCAGAAAACATTTACGAAAACCCGCTTGAAGGCTTTTGCCACGCTTTGTTTATATTCCTTTTTTGCTGGCTTATATTGGCAATGTTTTGTAAAATATTTTTTTACGCTAATTTGTGGAAAAATAATGAATATGTGTGCCGATTTGTGTGTATGTGTGGGGATTGACAGATTGTACTCCCATTGTTTTTTCGGGAGATGCATTGAAACGAAACTTGAATTTTGTTGACTTTGTGAGCTTATATTAAACTCATAGATAATATACACTGAGCGATAGTCAACTGTGGGTTGAATGCAGCAAGGAAATAGTTAAATTTCAGGCTCAAGCCTTAGACAAGGGCGGAAAAACATATATGTAAGTTTTCTTGTGTTGAGGGAAATTTTATTTACAAAAAAAAAAAACATCGACAAGCTTTAGAATAGTTGACTTTTACTGGGATGAGCTATCTATATGATTTCTACAATTTTAACCTAACTATCTAAGTCTGAGGACCCAACTTGTATATAGGGTAAATTCTGACTGTATTTCTATTCCAGTCCCTCACTTTAAAGGCTTTCTGAGTAAATCTTGGCATAGAGCCAACCTTTTCGAAGCGGGCAGCATTTATGCTGAAGAACTTCGAATCGAAGCAGTACATATTGTAGCTGTTATAGGTAAATTCATTCGGACACTTAGCTTTAGCAATTAGGTACTTCACTATGCTCCCAATATAAAAAGATAATCTTAACTTCTTTAAGAATATTATTATTAAAAGGAATATATGTATGCATATATAAGTGAGTAATCTTTAATAAGTCTGCTGTATTCAACATCCTAAGCTAAGCCTGCTCGATTTCGCCAAGTGTATTCAGTGCCGTTATGTGAACCACGAGTTGCATAAACCTACGCCTCAACCTGGCTGTTAGCCTCATGTTGAAATGCTCGTCAAACCGGAAGTTAGAAGCGCTTGCCACAGGGCAAAAACGAAAACAAAAACAAAAACAAAGAATAAAATAAACATATTGCGCTGTGTTGCACCTTGTTAGCCTCAAGGATGAAAGGCAGTCAAAGCCGCAACGCAACAACAAAAAGGCGGCCAACATGAAGTCCGTTGGCGTTTTATGCCGACTTTTATGCTTTAATCAATTTCTTAACGGTTTGGGTGGCATCTGGCAAAAAAAATTTGTCGTCGCCGTTGTACAACAAATTTGTCAACTGGCCGATCGATGTGCCGGGCCATATGCAAAGGGCCGACAAATGGACAACGGCAACGTGCCATAAACAAAGCCAGCGGGCGGGCGGGCGGTCGATCGGTCGGTCGGTCGGCCGTACACGCACCAGGTTCCATGCCCGAGGAACCGAGCAACCGAGTGTGCCACGTGACTTTTCGGAAAACGGAAGTAAGCCGCCGTCGTGGGCTTTGTTTTTGCCAAACTGAATGGACATAATGCCATGCGGTTAGAGCTACTGGGCGGCATTGCAAATCCTTATCCCATTTGTGCCGTCACATTTTATTGCTTCCTGCGCAGGTGCAGCGATCGAGAGGTCGAGAGAGAGAATGGGAGAGAGAAGCACCCACTGTGCACTCACCTTGATCAGTTTTTCGCGTATCTCCCAGCTGAATATGCCGGGATTCTCCTTGCGTAGCTCATCGATGCGTCCCTCAATCTCCGGCGAAGTCACCTTCGGCTTAGAGCCACCAATCACGCCCGGCCTTATCGAGCCCGTCTCCTGGTAGCGATTCAGTATCTTGGATACACAGCCATGCGAGACTCGCAACTGTCTCGATATCACACAGGGCCTCACTCCGCTGGCCGCCATTTCCACGATTTTCAGACGAATGTGATTGGGCAGCGGGCGACCATTGATGAAGACGCCGCCAAGCTGATTGACGCGTCCCTGGCCTAAAATGGAATGTCTTTTACTTACAATCAAATATAAATCAAGTAATTGTTATAGTATTTCAAGCAACATTAATAGGGGCATACTGAAGACATAGATATTATTTCGATTCTGGGTTTTTACCTAAGCCTTAAGCATTACCAAAATGCAGTTCCGCTTGCAAATCGGTTTAATTTTGGCAAAATTATGACAGCTTTAAGCCAAAAGCGCATAGCCAATTAAACGTTACTTATTATTAACATTTTTGGCCAGTGCATTTGTTAATAAATGTGGGATATAAAATTACTTTTAACCTGAATAATTCGTAGAGCTATGATAAAATGTTTTTTTTTATTCAGTTTTATCAAAGCTTTTAATAGGGATTATTATTATTAAAAAAAAAATAAATTTTAAATGACTGACAACAAAATGGCATCAATCATTAAAATCATTACGGTTTGGGCAAGTTAGTTGGGAATACGGATAGGATGCATCCTTTTTGCTAGCGCCCCAAAGGTGTAGACTTACCTTGAAAAGGATAACCGGCAAACAGCGGTCGCAATGAGTTGGCGCTGGACATATCCATTTAAATGTTGTGTTTTTAGTTGTGATTGCTTATAAATAATCTTAGGAACTACGTTGGGAGCTGCTGCGACGCGACTGCACAGTGGAGCACAGATCACAGGGGGCCTGAAGTGGGCTCAAATTGCACGCACAAGTGGAAGGTGGAGCACTAGGAACAATGCACAATTCACATGGCTGGCCAAATTGGCTTTATTTTGGCCAAATACTTAGCACTTAAGATTTGAGTTAACAGTATGCTGAAGCTGCGCGCACGCGATATCCGACGGAAGGAAGCGCCGTTTTTGCAATCTGAATTTACGTGACGTTTGCCCGTTTCTTGGAATTGCGCGCGCTGGCAACGATCAAACAGCACGAGACTTGCAAAGCAACTAAAGGCATAAATTAACGAAGGCGACGCCGGGCGGCGAATGCGGCCGGCAATGAGATCGCGGCCATAAACTGGTTTCCCAATAGCAATACAAGCGCACGAATCACACACACACACGCACACACAGAGAGAGCGAGCAACGCGCAGCTTTCGCGTCCGCCCTTTTGTTGCTGTTGCCTGGCGCCACAATATGGCAACGATCAAAAAAAATACCTCGCCTGTACACAGAGAGCGAGCGAGCGAGAGAGTAAGCGAGAGAGAGAGAGAGAGAGGGAGAGCGCACGCTTGTGCTCAGTCTCGCGTGCGCTGCGCTTTAATCGGCTGGGGCAACGCCTCGGAGCTGGCTGCGCACGCTGATTGGCTGCTCGCTGTGGGGCGGTTCGCGCTCAGCGCTTTGATATCAAGAACAATCGCACAATCAAAGAAACAACCCCCCCTGCCCCTGACGCAGCTATGCAGCCACGCGGCGACATCATCAGCGATCTCTGCAGCTGTCACTAGTCCTGTCATGGCTGCTGCTGCCCGCGCTGTGTGTGTGTGTGTGTTGTTTTTGTTGTTGTTCCCATTGTTGCTGTTGTTGTTGTCCTTGTGTGTGACACTTTTGTGCACAATATATGACTTTTGTCGCCGGCAGCCAATTAAAGCGTGAAGGCTGCCGGCGGCACAGGACAGAGCACAGGGCACAGGGCAGAGAATGGAACAGAAGAGAGCAGAACAGTACAGAACAGGACACATGGCCACCGTTTTTACCTCTTGCGCATTATATTATCAATCGTTCCGGTTGGCATTTTCGCACCCACGGCCGTGTATGCTTATGCCATTTTTGTACCCTTTCACAGGGTAGCATCATTTAATCAGGCAATGTGTAACGCATGTAACGCATATATATATATATATATATTCTCGATCAGCAACATCACCGAGTCCTTATAGCAATGCAGTTCTTATGCAACCCAATCTTTCATTCTTGAGCATAGATCCCCCTTTTTCCAGTGTCAGTCTTTTTATCGGGATTGATGATGAATTACTTCTAAAAGTGCAATTTTTTTTTAAACATTTATCAAGATATTTTACCAATGTAATGTACTGTATTTGCTAGGGTGTTTAATATTCGGCAAGGGCTTCTAATGTTTTGCTAGCTTTTGTTGCAGTTGCTGTTCATTTGTAATTTCTCCGGGTTGTTAGTTGGGTCAGGTCCAAATCTACTCATAGACATAGACATTGCGTGTTGCCCCCTTTGTTGTTTGTCATCGTCAAGTTTTATGGGGGTTTCTTAGTTCCTTTTGGCCTCGCGTGGCTTGGCTTATCCTGCCGCTGGCAACACAATGGCAGTTCATGCCTATTTACGACCACCCTCCTGTGTTTGCACAGACATCATTTAGCGGAGATTCTGTTTATCTAACAAGTCAAGATAGTTCTCTGTTTGTTGTTTCGTTAGCAGTTAGCTTGGCCTATGAATTATGATTGAAATACAATTTGATGGGGTTTCGTGTGAGGAAAAAAGTCTTTTGGATTATTATCGCAAGTTTAAATTGAATGGAAAAGATAACTGAGTATGAAATTGATTGAGCCTGTTGAAAGCTAGAATTCCGAACCAAAAACCTATCCAAAAAGTAGCCTCATCAGCTAAATAAAAATTAATAAATTGGAAGCTATATTTTGCAATCGATTTATGATTTTATTACCTTGATTAGAAGCTCAGTCTGAAGTTAAAATAATACCCTCCTAACCAGTTTTCCTCTCCCTTGACTTATTTGCTCTCCTTCAACATCCTAACGAGTTTTTCCATCCATCACATATGTCAGGCGGGAGGTTCGATTTCAACCCCCAGCTGCAAAAGTCATTTACCGATATACAAACATAAAAATCTATCAACAGCCATTAATTGCAGTCGATTTCAATAAGCAAGAGAGAAAGAGAGTAAGAGAGACAGAGTGAGAGAGAGAGAGAGAGGGAGGGAGATAGTCACACCTGGTACACAAAACTGCCAAATGGAGTTTTTGAAAAATTGTAAAACCAAAAACTGTAAACCGAAAACAAAAGCCAAAAAGCAGCGAAAGGACATCATCATAATATAAAGAATTAAGCGTGAAGTTTACGCATATTAAGGATACGCACATGCGAACACACGCCGCCTGCATCTGGCCAAGGAAAAACCAATAGAACCAGCTCCGTAAAATGGCCGTTGTGTTTGTGTGTGTGGCGTTAGTGCATGTGTGCGTATATGTGTGTATGTGCGGCAGCAGGCCAAATGCAAATGTGCTCCATATAGAAATTGAAATGAAAATTGAATTGAGCGGAATGAGCCTGTCAGGCTGTTAAAATAGCCGAGACTCTGTCTGGGATTAGAAGCTAGAGCTGAGCCGGGGTCCTGCATATTGTAAAACATCCTCTCAGCGCTAATCAGCATAAAATTCGACGGTAATGAAGCGTTGTGCAACTCGTCCTCGGGCACTTGAATGCACTCGCATGGCTCAGCTGCAGACCCCGACTGGCAAATGCAAATGAGCCGCAGGACATGCCCGGGCTGGCCATTAATTGTGCCGCTGGCTCTGACAGTAAAAAATTCAAGTAGACCACAAACTTGGTCACGATAAACATGACAAATTTTCTAATTTGCCTATTGACAGTTTTCAATTATTGGAATCCCTCAAGCGTGGACCAATCGATAAACCGCCCAGCCCAAGAGTCACATATATATTTTATGTTGTCGTTATCCTGTCAAACGGAAGTTCCATTTGGGCTGGTAGGCATTCAAACCTGGCTTCCTGTTTAGCCTGGGTAAATTATTCGTGCCCTGGAAGTTGAGTTCGACGAGCACTGATTGAATTTTTGAGTGGAATGAAAGCTGTGATGTGGGGCTGCAGCACATGTAATTTAATTACTTAAATATGCAGAATGTTTAGGAATATAGCTGTAAATGAACCTCTAAGGTTTTTAGCTTTATACTTCTAATAGCATATGATATGCCTGACTGACTCAATATAATCAGCTCTTATATCTTAAAGATACTTCAGAGATATCTCTTGCCAAATAGAGTACAATTTATGGACAATTTCATAGAACTAGGCATTTATAATCCTCTGGTATACGTACTTTTATATTTCCCAGAGTATTCGTCAGGCTGACTAAGTCAATAAATTGAACCTTTATTTCACAAATTTTATATAAAAATTCTTAAAAGCGGGTTTTCTAGCAAATATACTTAAAGTATCTCTGGAATTCCTTGGAATCTTGTTATTGGGCAGCTAATTTGATTCAAGGTTGGGTTTATGGTGAAAAAATTAAGTTTCGAGCTAATACTATGATTTAAGATACTGAAAATAACATATAATTTTGCTTCCTATAAATTATTCATATTATTTCAAGTGAAATGCCAACTTATTTCGTCTGAAACGAACAGCACAATCCTTTCCAACCCTCAATAAACGAACTCCTGTGCCATCACCTATTATAATGAAGTTCCACTTAATGATCCATCAAAAACCGTTAGACAAGTGTCAACAGAGCCCATACAAGCCACTCGTATATTCACAAAGTATTCATAAGTATTCAAATCTCCATCGCCGCCAGTAGCCGCAACTGCAATTCAAAACAAACAAATTCGGAAGAGAAGCTCAAGACCCCTGGCAATAAGATCAAATATTGAACAATCCCAAGGTGTGGGACACATGACGGATTGATGTACCAACTGCAGTAGGACAAGTGAAAATTAGGAAGCCAAGTGACACACACACATGCGCACACACACACTAGCAAACTAGCAGGACAATTGTGAAACCGTTTTCACTCCTTCATGCTAAATTTGCGAAGCAAACAAACGGAGTCGAGGTCCCGCAGGACCTCTTGGCATGAGGCAAATACTCGCAGAGTACAGATGCACAACCAGACGACGGGGTGCGGCCCAGGACGATAGCGCAGCAAGTGGCAAGGATATTATTTTGGCTGGCTACTCGTTCGAGATTCGGTAGTCATAAACACAAGCGCAAAGACAATACTTGACAATACTCGCAGCTCGGTTGCAGTAAAGTTGCTTCCTAGTATTCCAGTTAGCTGAGACTTTTGGGCACGTCTGGCACACACTACGTTCCAGTTGCAGGAGTTCTTTTTTATTTCGTAAGGTCTTTTATGAGCCTGTGTGAATGAATCTCGATGGCAAGCATGTACTTAAAGTTTTACAGCCTCCGATGATGATCTATACACGAGTTTTATGCCCAAATCTTGACTTTCAAATGTCCGCCTCTTTCTGTGCTTGGCGACAAAATTTACAGTCCCCTTGTAAATCATGGGCCCAATTCTGTTGTCCTGTCCCGCGCACAACATGTGCTCCATTTCAGCTGAATCCGACTTCTGGTTGAATTTTAGCACTTCCATTCACATAAGTCTTTGGATATGAGAGCATCGCTAAACGGGTGTATTCGATATTTTGTTGTTTATTGATTTTTGAATTCCATTTACTGGACACTAATTGGGGGGTTTTGTGTGCCCCATATTAACTGGAAACTGTCCAAAGAGTGTGAAGATACGAATTCACACATTTTCGCACCTCGAGTGAATCATTTTGTTTGAATTCAAGTCCGATTTACTTTGTTATTGAGTTTATTGAATACTTAGAAGCTTTGTTTAGGAGTTACCTGTTATTACAGGCAAACAAATCTTGAATTTAGGACGTTGAATAGAGTTTGGGTAATACTTCGGTTGACGTTATCAAATAATTTTGTTTTTCTTTTTCGGGCTCCTTCATTTGTCCATTTTCCTTAGGAATTTATAGACTATATTATGTTAAGCTTAAAAAAATAAATAAAATAGGACTCATTGAAAAAAATTAAAGACAAGCTACAAAAATTTAATTAAATAAAAGAAAAAAAAGGTCATTGTAGTTAAAAATTGTCAAGCAGATTTAGATAGTTAGATTACCAGGCGAATCATCTAAATACCTCACAGTATTATGCCATGTCCTTCTTTCCCCTCATTGTAAATATTCCATTATTGGAAAATATCC